AGCCTGGTGCCCGCGGCGCGCCAGCAGCACTGCACGCAGGTGCGCAGCCGGCGGCTCATGAAGGAGCTGCAGGACATCGCGCGCCTCAGCGACCGCTTCATCTCCGTGGAGCTGGTGGACGAGAGCCTCTTCGACTGGAACGTGAAGCTGCACCAGGTGGACAAGGACTCGGTGCTGTGGCAGGACATGAAGGAGACCAACACCGAGTTCATCCTGCTCAACCTCACCTTCCCCGACAACTTCCCCTTCTCGCCGCCCTTCATGCGGGTGCTCAGCCCGCGCCTGGAGAACGGCTACGTGCTGGACGGCGGCGCCATCTGCATGGAGCTGCTCACGCCGCGCGGCTGGTCCAGCGCCTACACCGTGGAGGCCGTCATGCGCCAGTTCGCCGCCAGCCTGGTCAAGGGCCAGGTAAGGCGGGCGGGCCCGCGGGGAGGGCGGGGGCGCGGGGCGCCGGGCGGCCTCTTCCAGACCCGGCTCCGACGGGGCGACGCGCCGGGCGCCTCGGGCCCGCGTCCCGGAGCGCGGTCCTCCTGCCCCTGCAGTCCCACTGGGTCTCGGGGCTCCGCGGCTTGTCGCCCGCGCTCCCTGTCTCGGCGAGGCGACCGTTCGCTTACTGTCCGGCTTTCCCCCGGGCCCTCCGCTGCCTTTCTCCGCTGTTTCCTGTGCGCCTGACCCCTCCCTTCTTCCCTCGCGCCCCATCCCTGCACCCTCTGTCCTTTATGGCTTTCTCCACTCCCCATCCATCTTTTTCTCCTCAATCTTTGCCCTCCACCATCTCCCCCCATCTCCTCTTCCTCTCTCCCTTTCCTCCATCCCAGCCCCGCTTAATCTCCCCCTCTGCTCGCCACTCCCACCCACCCTTGCCCCTCATCTACTTCTCCCCATTTTGGACCCCCATAATCTCCTGAGGGTGCAACTTTACATGTACCTCAGGATCTGAATGCCCAAGCGAGTTTATCACTCCCCTCCCCGCGTGTGTGTGTGTGTGTGTGCGCACGCGCGCGCGCACACACACACACACACACACACACACACACACAGGAAGCTCTCCTCCCCAACATCTCAGAGGGGTGCTGTGCAGGTGGGGTGCTCTGCGGAGACCTGGCCTGCTTGTGAATCTGCTCCCCTGCTCTGCTGGCTCCTTCTGAGCGGCATCTAGGGCAAAGGTGAAAATTGTGCTTTTCAGAAATTTCACTGGAAAAGCAGAGGTGTGGTTTCAGTGGTTCCTTAAGTGACAAGGCCAGACTCTGTCAAGGAAATGCATGGCACCTGCCCCCTTCCAGAACCACCACCTCTGCTCCTGGTCTCTCTCAGATCTGTTTCTTCCCTGGGTTTCCTCATGCCTCCAGGAGTTAAATCCTTTATCAGGGCTGAAGATTTTTCACTAAGTGGTGAAATGTGGGCCAGGGAGGGGGGCGGGAGCTGGATGCCCGAGTCTTCTTGCCTATTGCACCAGAGGGCAGCTTTACCAAAAGAAATCCAGGGAACCTGAGAGCAAAGAATGAATGGATCTTCTGAAATGTGTTCCCACCTGGCTGCAGAAAGGGGCATGATGGTTTTGTCTTTCCACACTGTGTGCTCTTGATCGTGCTTGAGTTGGTTGATATTTTCTCCAAATCAATAGTAAACAGCTAATAAAATCATATTTTTATATGGGCAATTGTAGATTTATGGAGAATCGTTGTTTTGTTTAGAAGACCCTGAATGGCCTCTCGATTTGATCATTCTGCAGCCAGCGTATCAGAAGTCATCAGTCCCCTGTCACCTGCCTCTGTCCTTTTTACTGCAGGGTCTTTCACACTGTTCAAATCATGCTTGTTCTGCCAAGTTCACTGAAGGTGGAGCCCCTGGGATTCCACTCAAATAGTATCCTAACTCCAGTGGAGTTAGGTCAAGAATGAAGTCTTTTGTTACCAAGTAACTATCCTGCCAGTCTATCTTTTCTGGGATTTAGGTTCCACTTATTTCTTGAGTTAGGAAAAGGATGGATATGACAGCTCTGGAAAGACATCTTTAACTGAGAGAGCTTTAATTCTTTAACGTGAGAGGTTCACTCTGAATTCTTTCCGTTCAGTGCTGGCTCTGATGTAAGATACTGAAATTTAATACGAACCACAGGAATGGGGGGGTCACTTTATTTTTTGAACAGGATTTATACAAATGATGTGGGAGAATATTCTGCAAAATGCCTTTGTTATCTATGTCTTAAATCATTGCTAATCAGAACTCTCTGGAATAGTCTCTTACCTTCTTTTGTTCTCCACAGTGAGATGAGTTTAGGGACCAGGGGACGAGGAATGTCGTTTTGCCTTACAGGGCCACAGAATCGTGACATTTTAGGTTTGGAAGAGATCCTAGACATCCCTTGGATCACAGCCTACATTTTGAAAGATGTAGGAAAATAAAAATTTCAAGTGGGAAATGAGGAAGTTTCTTAAAAAGAGATATATCTTTGTAAATTAAATGGTTTCCATGTTTAAATTAATGTTACGCATAATAGTTGAATGCATGCCTGTGCACTTCTCTTAAAATCAGCAGGTCCTTGGGTCTATATTCCTTTCCTGCATAATTCAAATTAAGAGTCTTGCACACAGTTTGCAAGCTAGAGACTTCAGTGTTGAAAGTAATTATCAACATTTTTATTTATTATTTTCAGAATCTCACTTCATTGAACTCAGGGCCCTCCACCAAGCATATTGTATTATCAGCTGTTCTAAATTCTAGTGTATGAAAGATCTAAACCGAAGGGAAGAACGCAGCGACTTATGAAAACACCAGTTCAGTTTCTTAGCATTTTCTGTGCTGACTTCAACACCCAAAAGACACTGGTGTGGGATACACATAACCTCTCCAGAATGCAATGTGAGAATAAGAGTAATGAAGTCATAACGCTTCAAGATTCTGTATGCAAAGGGATTCTAATAGTGTTTCAGGGACCTGAGCATTTCCTTTTATGAAGTCCCTGCCTACAGATTGTTCAGTGCACATACTGTAGTTACCAAATTATTTCCATAGTTAAAGGTAATAGGCTTTGGGAAAGGAATCAAAGTACCTGATTAGGTATTCAAAGAGAACCGGGACTGCTACCAAACCAATAATTAGTTTAAAAGAAAGAATCATTCTCTTCTAGTTCAGTTCCTCCATCTGTTGGTATTTCTTTTTTAGGATTCGTTTTTCATAAGCGACAAAATTAAGAAAGACTTGTTTTCCTCTTGCATAACTACTCAGCTTAACTTTCTGAATTGAGGATGCACTAAGTTGATTTTCTTTCTATCCCTTCAGAGAAATCGTAAAATCTTTTAAAGGTTTCATTGGTAATAGTAGCAAAAGATTTGCTTAACAGTTTCATGCACAAAATAAAAAGTTTGGGGTTATCACATGATATGATAAATTCAGTCATTTCACGAGACTTTACCTGACTGTTTGGCCCATGTTATCAATCTCTTCAGTGCTGCTTTATGGATTGTGGTTGTTTTAAATGAAATTCGTATATGTTGCTTGTATGCTGTATTCTATACAGAGATCTTGACACACCTGCCTTGCCTGTTTATTGTCTATTACTAAAATCCTTCTTTTGACTTAATGGAGACGTTTTTGGTAATTCTTTTGGTTTTCTGCAATTGAGTGAAAAATCCCCAGACTTTTAAAGTGAACTGGTGAAAATGTTAAAACTTTGGGCCATTATTTATATCCTTTATCATTTACTGAACCAAAAGAAGAAGATCCCTAGCTCTAGGCTAGGATTTTCCACATTCAGAAGCAGTAAGATGTTGGTCAGTTGCAGTGTGAGCGCTGTGTTTGCACCTAGTAGATAGCCCCACGGGTGGACCCATTTGCGGAGATTTCCGAGAACAGGCTCTGGAAGCCTAGGCTCACTAGCACTGATGTTGGAGGGGCCTGGCCTGGGAAGTGCAGCGGAGTTCCCTGGCTCATACACTGGGTTTGGAGCCTGGGATCATTGAATGACTGCACGGAGAGCCTCTATTTGCAGTTGTTCGAGCAGAAGGGTCCCCAAAAAGCCGTCCAAGGGGGGCTCTAACTCAGCATTCTGTTTTCTCATCACCGTACCTCCTGAGTGTCTCCTTTGCAATTAGTTAGACGTCGCCAGGGGCAGGGAACCAGACGGCTCCTGGAAAGCTGTCCCTCACTCCTCCTCTGCTTTCCCAGAGCCAGCCGCAGGACGCAAGCCAGCAGGAAGCCACCGTGGCTAACTGCCAGGCACCCCTCGCCGGGCCCCCGCCCGCTAAGCGAGCGCCGAGTCCCCTTCACCCGACTCGGTGCCCCTCTTCCAACGGTCTCTGTACAGGGAGGGAACTACAGCTCCACACAGCCACGTGAAACCAGTTACGTCTTGTTCTGATTCTAGCAATGAGTGCCAAGGCGCTGGAAAGCGAGCCCCGGTCGTGAAGCCGGTCAGGAAGGGCAGAGTCAAGCCGGGGGCCGCCTAAGCTGCTGGCTGTCCCCGGGCAGTGGTCCGCTCCCTGCGGCCAGCGCGATAACCGTGTGTGTCTGCCGAGAACAGATACCCGGTCAGGCGTCAGCAGAACGGCGAGAACGGCGGGACTGAAACATCCTCAGATCTTAGCGTTCGAACTCCAAACTGGTAAGCGATTCAGAGTTAGTCTCAGAGTTAGACTCAGAGTTAGTCTCTGGGATCTTTGAGTAATGGAAGATGGCAGGTGTCAGAATGTGGTAGAAAAGGAACGGGCTCTGCACATCGGCCCTCTGATGAGACGGTGCATCTCTTGAGCTCGACCTCAGGACTTCAGGCGCCGTGCATCATGAGTGTCGCTGAGAATTGTGCGCACACACGTGCACACACACAAATACCACCTTCTTCAGAACGTCTTCCGAAGTACGAGGCCTAGGAACGGCATTTTACTTAGGACTGTGACATCTCCAGTTCTGGTCAGAAAAGGCGATGAAGGTGACCAGCCCTTTGGGTCCCAACGTGTATTGGCTTCCAAGCTATTGTCATTGACACATGGTTTGAAGGCCTGCGTTAGTCTGCTTGGGTTGCTGGGTGGCGTAACCAGCAGAAATTCGCGGTCTCACAGTTCTGGAAGGCAGCCTTTGGAAATCAGGTGTCAGCAGGGCAGGGCTCTTGTGAGGCCGTGAGGGAGAATCTGTCCCCAGGCCGCGGTCCGTGGCTGAGAGATGGCTGTCTCCTTCCTGTGTCTTCAGAGGCTTGTCCCTCTCTGTGCGTGTCTGTGTCCTAATTTCATAAGGACACCAGTCGTATTGGATTAGGGCCCACCCTAACGACATCAGCTTAACTTGATCACCTCTGTAAAGACCGTGTCTCCAAATACAGTCACATTCCGAGGCTCGGGGGATGAGGACTCCAACACGGGAATTGTGTGGGGCCACAGTGCAGCCCAGAACAAGCCCAAACAGGAATTTTGTAACTAATTCAGCCTCCCAGAAGCTTTGGCTGGTTTGCAAAGTAGTGTAAGTGAAGCCACTTCCTATGAACGCAGGACCAAACTGAGGAGGGCCCAGCAGGACCAACTTGGAACAGAGTTGGCAGCCCCTATAGGGGGAAGCGGTGGGGGGAGGGGAGAGTGTCATCAGTGACAACCAGGGGGTGGGTGAAGCCATGGGTTCAACGAGCAGAATGCATTGGAGGGGAGTCCTTATGAGTCACTCTGTCATTTTGTCCTGTGCCAAGT